GGTCCATTACAGATTAGTGATGACGAATATAGGATCAATTGCTTAGCGTCCAAACAACGGTGAAGTTCAAGACAATATTTTTTGCCAGGGCCTTGCATAAATCGCTTATCGCTGACCAAACGTGCTAACTACTGTCCCGTCTACTTAGCTCATCAGTAAGAATTTAATCCAAATTTTCTGAATAAATATCTATGCAGGAATAAAGCTAACCGTTTTGCTTCGTGGCGGGCACCGGGTCGGGGGTGCGTGCACGCCTAAGTGGCAGTGCCAACAGCTGCCTATACAGTTCCAACTCGTGGTAGAACTCCGCAGAGTCCGGTGAGCCGGCACCCCCGCCATCCACCGCATCGCCATCATCAGTCGCATCACGAGTACCCGCTGCATCACCAACCTCCGCCGTAAGCCCATTCAGAACCAGCCGGCGCGCCATCGCGCTCCGGCCGCCGCATCCGAACCTCACATCACTGCTACCACACCACACACCGGCCAACCGTTTTCGAAACCATTTTAACAAACGCGCCTTGCCTACTATCTTCACTATGATAAAACAACATTTAAAAAGAGTAAATTTCTACAGTAAAACTTTTTGAAACTTGAATTTTATGATACTTTACAAAGAATAAAATAAAACTTAATGCTTGTTTTTTTTTTTACTATACAAAGATCCCTTTAAATGTTTTCCTTTCACAACTATTATTCTGGCGCCCACCGGACTCACACTCGCGAATATTTTCTGCTAGAACGGGACACAACCCTCCCGTTGCGCGACCGCCGTTATACTGACGGATAGAAATTAACTGGATACTTAATTTGGTGGCTTGCCGAACAACAGGATATTCACTACAAACTTTCGAATGAAACTTTTAATGCCACCAGTATTCTATCGTAATTTATAGTCTAGCTAACTTCGCCAGAGATGGATCCTTCGACAATTATTTAGTAATACTGTTTTAACTGAGTTTGTTACTTAGAATGATGTGAAAATTATTTGTTGTTACTTGGAATGTTTTGTGAAATTTCTATTTTTGTTTTCACGTTTTTCAATCGGCTTGAAGAACCGTATAGCCTAATGTAAAATTTTGTGAAGGCAATTAATCGCAATAGGACTGGACTTACTTACTTACTTAATATATGATATGTTGTAGGATTACAAAGAGGAGTTTATAAAAGCTCCATGATTCGAAGAGAAGTTGAGTGAGCAGTTTTGAAAAATCTGCATAAAGGGAAATGTTGCTACTTGAAGCACATACTATACATAGGCAGACTTTATGTCCTAGGTATTCTCAACAAGTCAACCTGTGTACATTTTAGGATAAAAAAATAAAAAAAAATACTGTCATGTTATAGAAAATTTACAGAACCCTTAGAAAAATGTTGTAAATACTTTTTTGAAAGTTAAGGATGTCGGTGTATGCACCCTCTTAAGAAAAACTATGGACTAATTGTCTCATTTTAAAATCTATCATATTCCCTGTCAGAGATACCTATATCGATTTTGATAGCAGTTTGTGAAAATATTTAACGCGCTAACTAGTGAACACGTTAACACTTATCACTCAACCTATTTTTAAACATGCATACAACTCTATATTCTTCTACTAAGCAGCAGTACCTACCTACCTCCGTAGCGTAATGATTAGATAAAAGAAAGAAATGTATTCATTCCGGTGCAAAACCAAATAGACATTAAACATTTTATAATAATAATCACCAATTACAATAAATTTATTACAATATAAAAAAGCGTCACATGTTGCACCGAAATAGGCAGCCAATTCAGCTCACTGTCAGATTGCTAAACCTGACGCTGATTTTCAATTGACGCTTATTATCTTTTTTTTAACATAGATGTTGAATTGTCGACATGAAAACCTCTTACAATAAATACACAGAATCAAAGAAACAGAGAAAAATAATTAAACATTACAAATCAAAAATTCATTTAAAAATAGTAGCTACTTAAATTATTATTATATGAGTGTATTGAGTAAATTTATTTATATTTTAAAATAAATCATCTATTACATTTGCCATAAATAGTAACAATATGCACATATATATTTAATAAAAATAGGAATTTAAATCCATTACAAAAGCCGCTATATTTACGAGCTATTTGTATTATATATACCTATAGCTATTTGTGCAGCCAAAAGATATTTATTTAGTTTGTTTTTGAAACCAACACTCGACTTTATAGCTCTTAGGGGTGGTGGAATATTATTGCATATTTTAGAAGCAGCATAGCGAAAAGCCCCTTTGAAAGAAACCGAATTATGTCGTCGTATAGATAACTAGAGGCCGCCAGCGACTTCGCCCGCGTTTTCCATTATTTCTTCGCTTCTAATAGTTGCAGCGTGATGTTATATAGCCTAAAGCCTTCAACGATAAATGGTCTATTCAACACAAAAAGAATTTTTCAATTCGAACCAGTAGTTCCTGAGGTTAGCACGTTCAAACAAATAAACTCTTCAGCTTTATAATATTAGTATATGTAGATTGTTGCAAACTAGGGATTGAAAGACCTTTAACAAAACAGGGAGCAATGAAATAGGCCTGTAGTTATTTACACGCTCCACCTCGCCAGATTTAAATATAGCTACTACCTTTGCCTCTTTCCATATTTGAGAAAAAATGCCCGTTGATAACGACTTATTAAATATAATTCAAAATCAACAACAATGACAAAGACTCGGCACAATTTACTGCAAACTCATATGGTATCCCATCCAAGCCCTTTAACAAATCAAGTCTCTTTAATTTCTTAAGTACCATATGCTCCGGAAATTGAAGATTACATAGTGTTCGGATTAGGTGTCCCTTGGAACCGATCCATAAGATTGGCTGAAGTATTGATGCTGCTTTGTACAGATGTATAAATAGATGAGACATGAGAAGCGAAATGATCAGAGGATTCCTTACAGATAGTCGAAAATTTCACAGAACTGTTAGTAAGTAACGCGGGAATTATCCCGCGTTACGACGAAATAAACAATTATGTTTATTTCGTTTTTGCGTTTTGTGTTTCTGTTTAAAAAAGACCAGAAGTACTTAGGATTTTTTTCAATGAAGGATTCAATATTTTAATTTGAGAGGGGACGTATTTTCGGCACGAAAACCTTAATCACTCCTCTTATAATCTCATAAAAACGCTGTTGATGAACTGTTGATGAAATGGTAACCATTTCATCAACAGTTGAACAAGAGTTCAGTATTTCGAACCAGTTAATATTCTTTAAAGCCTCTGTTATACGCTCATAATAAGCTTTAAAAAAATTTGGCCTTAGGTCAACCTAAACCCGTCCACAAGAAGAACCTAGCGAAACTAAAAACTCCACTTATAATGTTTGTAGCCTTTAGCAATTGTACATGTGTAACAATTCTAAGAATATTTTGTAACAAATCATTAGTTGATATGAAAATCTAGTAAAATTTCGGCCAGAGGCGTGTTGTTAGGTACAGGGGACAGTGATGTAGAAGCAAGTCTCATTCCAAGAAATACAACTAAAATTGGAATCACCTGCTAAGAGGGCATTATTGGTTAAGTTTTTGTTACGGTTATCTATGAAATCTTTTAAAATGCATTTTTCACCGGCGGTGGTAAGTATACATCCACAATATCAGGCGCTCTTTTTTATTTAAATCAATTGTTTTATACTATGATATACATTTATCCCATGCTACCAGCGCTCCATTATGCTATTACCTTCCAGAAGCTTTGTCAGTGCCTATGTGACAAGCACAAAATATACGTAATTTTCTAGTTTTAAGTAGGTAGATCGTCATATTTATAATACGCTTAAGAATTAGTATTAACGATTCTACCACCACTAGGAGTCGACACTTTTTCAAACAACGTAACGAGACTATTTATCGTTCACCCTAAACTAGTCTTAAAAAAGATTTTTTTAATTAGTTTATGTTGTGGACAGACTGAACGGAACAAGAAATTGTGACGAAGTAACTAGTTAAGTTGGTGTTGTTCATGGATCGGTTTTCAGAATAAACGCTTTAGACAACAACGACAAAAAGGGTTCAGTAAATTAGTGAATGGTGAAAATTAACTGCCTTTCATACTTTTTATTCTTATTATTGTTAAAATTCAGAATTGGGATACTTATTTGCCTTTATTCACCTTATTATTCAAATTGATGATAACACAATCGAAGAAAATAAAAAGTAAAATGCTACTTGCATAATTTAACCTTGACCTACACCGTTTGCATTAGAATAAAAAACTGATTTTTCAGTTTAATTACAAAGTTCAAATGTGTATTTATCCCAGAAAAGTAATGTATTAGCAACTCTGTAAAAGGTTGTTAACATAAGTATGTTAAAGTATATTTTTAAAATATTTTTAGACGAACAGAAGGACCTCGTAAATCGTTCGTACTGCGGAGGACCATTTGTAACTTATGTTCACGCATAAACCAGTTTATCAATAGACCGTAAACGAGTCTATCAATTGATACCCAATAAACATTCTAAAAAAACAGTTCGTTCATTCAGTGCCCACTCCTAACCACCAACAACAGAATGACCGTTAATGAGACTATGTGCTTGTATAGGTGCTGTAGTATTTATGTTCAAACCTACATAAGTGGAGCATTAATATGCCCAGTAGTTATAGAAATATTTCCAGATGCATACTAATCAGGATCCAACAGGATCCAATAATATCAACGCCTAATGCATAGGCCAATAACGTATTTTCAGTTTGGTATAAACGACAATATGTTTATGTGTATAGAAATTCAACAAACTGCGGTTTAAACACTACCTAAATTTATAAGAAAATAAAGCCAAATTCTTCATATATTTTTATTTATAGTCTAGACCGCAGCAAGTTAAGTCTGCAATCGTCTAGAATCAAATACTGCAGTGGCGGCGGCAGCTCGAGCAACTTCATGCGCGGTGGCCGACCGGTCTGCACAGTCGACGGGTGACAATGCATTTGGTTTGTGGACTGCCTAAGTGTGAATAAGAAAATGAAAGCCAAATTCCTTATATAATATGTTTATTTATAATTAGACCGCAGCGAGTAAGGCCTGCAATCGTCTAGGATCAAGTCCTGCAGCAGCGGCGGCGGCAGCTCGAGCGGCTGCGTGCGCGGTGGCCGGCCAGCGATGCGCTAACAGCGCTAGCAGAGCGGTAAGCGCACAAAGCGCCGCCGCTAATGGTAACAGCGCAGGCGCACGACGACGCGTCGCCGCCGCATGGTGTGCCGGGAGCAACTCGCGATCGGCACATTGTACGCATCTATAAAATAATAGTGCCAGTTTTCTGATATGACAAGGTGGTAATTGTCTATTTCAAAACCTATACAATCGCTTTCAAAGGTATAACAATTTATGAATCCATGTAACTTTAATTTCACAACCGCTCTCGGAACGAATAATGATTCGAATGATCTAAAACCGTAATAAAAACTTCATTATTTAAACATAATTTAATATTTGCGTCTAACGCTTTGCCATAGTCAATTCCAATTAACGTCAAATTAACGATATCGATATTGAAAAAGAAATTAGTTCCCCAAATCAAACTAGATGTCGCTACAGTACTTTCTGAATTCTCCATGACAATACGGTTTTCTTTCATATAAAGAATATATAAAGTATTTCTATAAAGTAAATTAGTTTTCAAAACTCAATAAACAACTCATATTCTATTTGTACTTTTTCGTATTTGTATTAATATCTAAGTTTCGAAATTAGCAAATTTCAGTTCGTTAATATGTTACTTAAAAGGAACGGGAATTATTATCTTTAGTCCATTTATTTCCAGCAAAAATCAACTTTTGCTAGAGTCGGCATCTAGTGGAGGTGCTTTTTAGTGCTTTCTTTTTTAATACTTCCTGAATATAGCGTGAAATTCGTAAATATCTTTCAAATGTCAAATTCTAAAGAGATTGCGACATATTTTAATATTAGGCAATTAGATAAAACCGTAATATCATTATAACCCTAGGAGTATAATTATATACTGAAATATAGTTATACGAAATAGTTTCATTGCTATCTTACGGTCTAGGTATAAAGAAAGTAGAAAATATGTCAACAGACATTGCGTAATGTGACTGATGGCTCACCCTCCATGTCTCGCTAGGCCTCTGCCCGGCCGCGCGCCCCTCTCAGCCTGCCACGCGACGGCGAGCAACCTCAGAGCATCTGCCGCACGCCAGTGACGCAGGTGGAAGAATGCGTACGCGACCGCCTCGCTGTCGCCACGTTTGAGCACGTGCTCCGGTGGCAACGTCAACGGCCGCAACTCGAGGAGGTATTCAGGGACGTACGGATTGAACTCTATCGCGCGACGGATGGCCTGAATAATAATGCAACGAACTTACATCAGAATAGTAGTTGTGTAGTAGCTAGTACATGAAGTTTTCTTAAGATTTAAATTAAATTGACATTCTCGGGTCCATTTATGTATCTATACTGTACTAATATTAGAAAGAGGAAAGATTTGATTGTTTGTTTGCAACGAATAGTTTCGAAAGTTCTTTCACCTACAGGCTAGCTTGCTAGCTGTAGCTTTACATCATATGCGGTGAACATAGGCTATATTTTTTCTCCAAAAACAGCAAATAAAGATATGTTTGTTTTGAATAGCTGCTTTATATGTAAATAGATGGTGCTGGCCATTATTTTAAATCGGAGAATGACAACTTTGTTTTGTATATATTTTAACTCATTTACAATAACTAGTCTTTGCCTTGGGAATTGGTGTTTTGTGTTCGGAACCGAATAATTTTAAATAGAATTTTGACGAGCGATAGTGTCGCCATCTGGTGTGAAATACCAATCCATCAAAAATAATCTGTGAATCAAGTAAGGATACATTTGAACAATCTGAATACAATACTAAAGATATCTATGGTCGTGTAGAAGATTTATATACTGATTCTAAAACGGAACTTTAACAAAGACAGAAGACTTTCACTATCGCAGAGAAACAAACCACGTCACAGTTGCACTAAGATATAGATCAAAATGGTGTGAAGTTACCTAAAATTTCCATATCGAAATTTTCTGGGAAATATTCAGAGTGGAAAAAATTTCGGGATCTCTACATATCTCTCATTCTCAATAACAATGCTTACAAGATGTACAAAAACTGCATTATTTAAAAAACATATTTGACGGGAGAAGCGGGACAACTTTAACTTCATCTACCGATATCAAGTGATAATTATAGTGTGCCAGGAGCTGTTAAAACATAGATTTAACATTAAGAGATATGTAACCAACTGTATTTTAAAGAAATTTTTAGTCAAAAAACGATTGTGTACGAAACATCAGCCGTTTTAAAGGAACTTTATGATACCACAAACGAATGTCTTAATACTGAAAGAAATGTAGGTGTAAATGTAGACAATTGGGATGTCATAGTTATTTACATGTGGTCATTAAAATTAGACACTGAATCACGTAAACAGTGGGAGGCTAAGGTTTGTGATCTTGTTAATGAATTACCAAAACTTTAGTTACCAGCGCATTAGCAAACGAGACATATAATTACCTCTAGCGCGAGCATTTCGGCTGGCGAACGCGGTGGTAGTGCGGCAGCTTGACGTGCGCGCAGTAACGCGGCGGTGTAACACACGGTAGCAGAGCGTGGGGCGCCAGAGTCGTCGTGACGCGCGAGTAAAGCTTGCACATCTGCGTACGCGCGCTGCTCCAATAATACCTGTGATGGAACAGTAGGATCATTGGCAGTAGACAATAATCATAGCATACGCACACAGTTACAAAAAAGACGCGAGAGTTTTTTTTAATATAACGAGAAATTCAAAAACATCCTTATCAAATAATGATTTATTGGATTATGACGACATAATTATACATGTACAGATAAAACGCACATCCTTATTACTACCCAATAAAAAATGCGTTTATAATAAAAAAATGTAAACTGTGACTGTACCTACAGCGCAATAATACAATGATATAATACTAATAATACTCTGAACATAAAATGTTATTCTGTTTCGAAATACAAACTGCTTTTTAAATTAAACAAATTATTATCAGCGATAGATGCCGTATCGATTATTAAATGTTCATGCTAGGAGTGCCTTGACCATTTCAGTGTACTTAATGTAACGTCAGTATAACGAAAAAACATTGCATGCGAATTTTAAAATTCGATAAAAAAATAAACCACAGATGTTTATCAATACTCTTTAGTCATTTACTATCTCTGACATGTCATGTTTATTAGTGATATGTTTTTTTCGAAATTTCAAAAATCTCATTTTTAAGTAAATCGTTGACAACAAACAACTGCACCTCAATTAAATTTTCATGTAACGCCAACGCATGTAAAGCAGGCGGAGCGTCCCGCGCTAGTTCACGAAATAGACGTGCAGAGTCCCTTAAGCGACCGAGCCGTCTAGCGCACATCGCCGCTCGACGCTTGATGTGCGCCAGTAGTGCAGCGTCACGTCGCGCGAGTGCGCCACCGCCTAACGCTGCGTGTGACCGCCACGCTGTCTCCGCTGCGCGCCACGCTCTTTTCAGCACTCGCTCGGCCTAAAACGTTATTTATTAACAATGTTAAATTGGTGAACTAGAGGTACGAGCATGAATATTTTCGCCGTTTGAGACTTTCTGCAGCAGCGGCGACTACATCCGCCTCAAGACATGTTCGTGGAAGATGAGTTGGCGCCAAAGTATCAACGCAGGTGGCATCCCATACGGATTTCTTGCGGTTTTTAGCATTAGATAGAACAATTCTCGAGGAAGGTTTTAGTGTATAGTAAGTTCAGGTTTTTTTACAAACTGACGATATTACAACAATATTAGTTCGGAACATCTCGGAAAAAATAAAGTCGAGCGGAAGCTTTCAAAACAAACAAAACATTGTATGGTGTATTAGGCCTCTTTAAAGATTTAATACAATAACCTTTTTTTTACGTATACTTGAAACAGTAAAATGATGGCTTATTTACGAACCTATTTTAACAATACAGTATTAATCCTTATTCAAATAAATAAATTAGATACGTGCGTGTGATGTAGATCAAAATTGCCTTTTCATTATATCTTAAAAATGAATAACAAATGAGTTATCAAAAAATAAAAATATGTCCGGGCGAGCTATTAAATATCGATGAATTAAAATAAATCGCCGAAACGTATACGCGCACAACTTCCGAATTCCAGTTCCAACTGCACCAAATTGGATGATTCTATTTTTTATGCGTTCCACGATTCATTACAAGATAACATTTTTTTTTAAAAAACGTGTACAAGGCGGTACGAAGTTCGCCAGTCAGCTAGTATAAATATATTTTTAACAACCATAATATCATTTAACTGCACTTTTATCACCCGCTTACATCTTACTCTCCCACGACTCCTAGGTTGACTGGAAGAGATCTCTTCTTAAGATAAACACACCCTTGTTACAAATTTATTTACTTGTTTTTATGTAAAATTTTGAGTGCAATAAAGAGTATTTAGGTGCTATGAACCGAATATAATAATGCTGGGAAAGCAACACTAGAAATATTGCGTAAACCCATACTTCCGAAGTGTATAGGAAGGGAAGCCTGATACCAAATTGGCAGTTATATCGATATTCAATATAGCGGAAACAATTTCTATTATTGCATTGTCCATTAAATGTGTAAGGTTTGTGTGTTTCCAAAAAGGTGCTGAACGTAAAACATAGGTAAATTGAGGAACAGAGACAATAACGCATAATTGTGAAAGTCATTTGTTTATTAATATTTATAGAGCTTGCATTCACTAAAATTTAGTTCTAGGCCACTGTACAAAATTACCGATTAGATATTTTAGAATTTAGATTTAAAATAATTGGGTGAATAGCTAAACCAAAAATTGCCAGCCCGAGTGGGTCACCTTGTTGACATCCTATGGAAGAGGATGCAAAGTCGTTTTTATAAATCAATTTCGAAGGTGATCTATAGCATTGCCATAGGAATTTTTATATAGATAGTGTTTTGTCTTTTATCTACTGAGTTGAAAGATAGATAGATACATATACACTTTATTGCTCACACATAATTATTAATAATAGATTAATAATTCATAGAAAGCTTGTTATGTTAAAAATCATCCACCTTCAAGACAAGAACATCTTTTGGTTGAATATCTAAGAACGTTGTAAGAGATTCTATTGTCGCTTCATAACCATTCCAATCCACAGTTGTAAAGAGTTAAAGTAGTTGCGTCCTATGAATTGATTTATGACATATCTTAGCAGCAAGACGGCAAAAAGTAGAACCTACCCTAATTGGTAGGATACCACTATCCTTTTTCTTAAGACCAAAAATTTGCACCATAGAGAATATACACAATCGCAGTATGAATGTTACTTGAGAGCATCAAATTTATTTAGTTAATTCCTTTAAGAGGCTTTCACAACTAAATTGACTTTGTTTCAGATCCTACTCATATTTCAAATCTGAAAACAAGTCTGAGATTGCATCTTTATACGAAAAACATAAAGATGCCTAGATTAAACAGGATTTTTACTCCACTAATAAGTACCTTACACAAGTATAATAATTCCATTATTCACAAAATCAAAAATACAGACAAAATTTCAATTGTGTGTATATGTTTTTTCAATATTGGCTGACTGTATTCATTGTTTTTAATAGCAATATAAGCAATGTAAGCAGTACTTCCAACAAAAGTTACCTTTTGAAATAAATTACATACTAGTTTACCGCAAGGGTCAGATCAGATCCATATTACACTCAATACAACAGTCAGTGAGGCCATCCATATCGCCGAAGATAGGGTGAGATGGCAAACATCTCATTGGAGAGAGTTATTCAGCATGATTACAACCCTCAGCATTAAGGTTGAACGACATACTAGTAATAGTAACAAATATTGTAGGTGTTCTTTTTAATGAAACTAAATGAAATATCACTGGCACACACACTAGCCAACCTCCTGCACAGTGGGTGCATCCTCTTCCGCCAATAATAGCAATGCTGCGGCGCAATCAGGACGTAACGCTAAAGCCGCACGTGCCGCCGCCACTCGTGCTGCCGGCTCACGTTCCCGCCATGCACGTGCCATCGCCTCTTCCGCAGGACCCTGCAAGTGACTTCCAAATAACATATCTATCAACAATCAATGTTATCAACTAAGTAAATTCAGATTTATTTGTTAGTACTCAGCGTCTTCAATGCAAAGGTATGGTAAGAATAGGGCTGATGCTAAAATATTAATGTGCTGAAGGAGGCCCAAGAAATTAATTTTAACATTATGTTTTCTATAGAAACATATTAGCACTTGCATGTCAGTATAATGTGTGAACAAAAAATCAAAATTACCATGCAAGTCAATCACATGCATTAAGTAAAAAAATATTTTATTTACTTCAGTTTCGATTTCTACTAGCATCATAAGCAGTGAAAAATTACAAAAAGTATAAAGGGATATTGGGAGAGGCGTATTTCTAAAAACCACCTTAATTTTCCTAAAAATTTCAATACAACTCCATAAAAAATCTATTTGTAATAATTTATAATAATTTATAATAAGCCTCTGATGCACCGTTAATCTTCACAGATATGATTTTAACAAAATTACAAGAACAATTTAAAATTTTCCAAATTTTTGTTCGAGGATAAATAAGAATAGGTCCTAAGTGTCATGTTAATTCTAATTCAAGATAACATTGTAGATTTTATTTTATAGTGTATCAAATAAATTTTATCTTATTGGAATAATGTGGGTTATTCAAAATAATGTCTAATATAAAAAGATAACTAAATCAATATACAGGAATGATTTTATTGACAAGAAATCAAAACTGTGGCCTTTAACTTAATGATAGTTTTCTACTGGATTACTTCTATTGATTACCATGCCATATTCCTATGGATTACTACCTATCTCATATTCCTTTCTTATATCCCATAGAAAACTATCATTTTAATACACCATAAATGTTTAAATCAATGTACACCATTCGCAGTGTCACAAACTAGTCCCATGAACTTAATATGAGCAACTCACCTCAGCACCACATGAGAACCAAGCTTGATGATCTTGTGCTGAGAGATTCATATCATAATAAGTTAGCGGAGCACGACGAGCAGCGGTCCACAGTCGTCCATATTCTGCCCCCCGCAGTAATGCCATTGGATTACGCCACACTTTACATTCTGTCGCTGCACTGGTCTCAGTATCGCCGCCGCCTAACCATGGACCCAAATGGGCCAATGATACCTGCTCTATAAACGACGTGCCATATTTCCGAAAATACCACCACTCAAATATGAGGATCAAGCCAGAGATAAGTGATGAAGTGCCGGTTAACGCAACATAGAATTTGGGAGTAAGCGCTCCGAGAAACGTTGCAGAGTCCCACATAACGATATGCTTCGAATCTTCACACGTCGTTACTTTACTGCAGGGGGTATTTTAATTACTCATACATATGTGAAATATAAACTTTTAAAAATAAGCCAGACTTCTGTTGTACTGACTAAACAAATCAATCTCTTGAATGACACAATTCAAATCTCAATAGTAAAGAAATATCATACTAATAAACCCATTAGTGGAACTTATTACATTTTCATTACCAATAAACAATTTAACATTTTTGTGAAAACAATATTGAATTTAAAATTCACATCAAACAAAGAGCAAGAGCATATCAAGCATATCATATTAGTGATGTCAACTCGAGTGACTAACTCAATGAACTCGCGTTGGGCGTAACTCGAACCCACTCGAGTTGAATTCTCTCTAACTCGAGTTCGTTAACCGAATGGAACCTACATGGAGAGAAGTTTGCCGATCATTTGAGTAAGACTATGATGTTCATTCATTCATTCATCACAAACAAGTGTCACATAATAATATATTATGTAGATTTGAGGTTAATTTTAAACTGTCGGTTATTGTTGTAAACTTTGGTGTTTTATGTTTTGTTTTTAAAAAATGCCGGGAGAAAAAGAAAATCTTTATTTTGGGATGTATTCGAATCGCCAGTGAGTGGATGTGTTGCGAGTTAACAATGTTCAAATTCAGTTCAGATTACCCCCGGTCAGAGGAGCAGTGCCGGTTTTAGCACTACTAGCGCCCTGGGCGAAATTTCTTCGGCGCCCTTTAACTGCAATTTAATTACAATCAATTACTACTACATACTACAAATCAGTTACTTGTCTTTTTTTCGCTGACCCGGCCTACTTACTTGTAATTTTCCCTAAATTTAGGTAGATTGTTAAGCGTTCAATCGGTTTAATTTCTCGGGAATCCCCGACTTTCCGACCATACAGAAACAATGTGTTTTTCTATAATCGGGGATTCCCTATATCTATCTCTTTTAATTTTTGACGAAGAAGAACACAATCGACAATTATCTTCTTGCTTGACATAAGTGGAGGCTCTTAAACAATTATTCGATTATTTTAAAACAATCAAACACAGTAATCAAACGTTTAACTCTACGTTACGATGCTCTTGTTCCAACTATATAGTGACATTAGTTTTATTTTAAAAGTAAACATATAAATAGTGTATAAGTAGCTGATTCATTTTTGACGGATCACATCATTAGGTAAGCACAGATTCATTTTTACCCTAACAGGGTGCCACATCATTGTTATCTATAACTTTGTGTAATTGTTGTAACTTTTTGACAGCGAGTTTGCAGTGGGCCACTACTTATTATATAAGTGGACAAGTAGCTGGATCCGCTATATTCGGGACAACAGTATCAACATCATCTAGTACATGTATTTGTTGTACATCAATAACAGATTTATCCTAAGCAGTATCTGTAATCATAGCACAACTTGCTCCCTTACTTCGGGATTTTTCATCCACAATCTCTTGAGTAGCTATTCCATCTAACTTGCCAGACAGAGGCTCCACTGCCAATGCATTCGTTTGTATTGCAGCATTTTAGCTTCAGCTTAACGTTAAAACATGCTCAAACGAAAATTTTCTTAAATGATCGAGCGATAATGCCCGCCAGTGTACGTCATATTACCTTATAAAATACATATCTTCATATTGGTAATCGGTATGTTGTTCTGTTTTACCATAATATCATATTTTTCTTGTTAAGTTTCCTTTCAATTCATGCTAAAAGGCAACTTGAAAATAAAAAAAAATCCTCAAGATTCTTGTTCTTTTTTCGCCGACCCAGTAGGCCTTGTTCAATGAACAAGGGCATATAAGAATATAAGAGGGCGTCTGTGGGAAATGAGGAAGTATTGGAAAAAAATACATAACTTCCCGAAATCAAACTAGATGTCGTTACGGTATGTTCTTGATTTCTCCATGACAACCCTTCCAGTTTTCTTTAATGTTTAAAAGTAAATTAGTTTTCAAAACTCAATTAACAACTTATATTCTATTTGTACTTTTTCGTATTTGTATTGATATCTAAATTTCGAACTTTTAAATTTCAGTTTTTTAATGTGTTAGTTAAAATGAATGGAAATTACTGTCTTTGTTCCATTCGTTTCCTACAAAAATCAACTTTTGCTAGAGTCGCCATCTAGGTGGAGGTATTTTTGTAGTGCTTTCGTTTTTTTTAAATACTTCCTCACTATACAGAATCAGAAAGAAGAGCCGGACGAAAAGGGGCGCCGCAGGCCGCGGCGCCCCTTTTCGTCCGGCGCCCCTGGGCGGTCGCCCAACCGCGCCCTACCCTAACGCCGCTACTGCAGAGGAGACTCCTTAGTCCTGACATTTATTATTACGCAATTAGTAAAAAAAAAAATCCGATGAATTTGCCAATCGCTATAGTTACGCCACTGCTTGTCTATCCAGTTAACTCGAGTAATGTAATTCGAGTTCACCTCGAGCTATGTGGATTTTAACTCGGGTTAAATCGAGTTTTGTTTTTTCGAGTTGGCACATCACTAGAGTTTGGCAAGCGAAACGTGACACCACCTATTTTTCCGTTTTCATATGGCAACAACATAGAACTGTCAGTTTGACACTACGTTAGACAATTCAGGGACGTAAAACTCAGAACAAAGTATTAGGTTCTACAACGAAATAAGATGGTTAATTTAAATTGATCGATATCCGCATACGTTTGAATATAACATGTTATTTTTTAATTTAGTCTCATAATATGGACATTAGTTGACCACTCACGCGTATAGATGGCAATAGTATCGCTATTATATTATTTAATTGAGTTGTCACAAAAGAACACTCATAAACTTTACTAACAATGACCTTTTTAGTTTAGTTTCATTATTATGGGCTACAATGTAGCCCTTCTTTAATTTTTTTTTCTAATTGGTACAATTTTAGCTCTAACAGAACTTCCATTTAATCTTTTCTTCTAAAGAATTACAGAAAACTTTAATATCGATAAATTTGACACAAATAAAACTACCTTTATTTTTATGAAATCGTTATCGTATGAAGGTACAATATTTGAAAAATGGTATTAAACACGTTTGAATAGAGTAACACTACAAATATATAAAAAAAACACTACCAAAAACGTTTTATTTAAAATGTCAAAGATTACAATTTAATGTCATGGTTTCTGAGCTGTGAACATTGCGTTTCTGCTGTTTTTAAGTCTTAAATTCGTGCTTCTGTGTAAATCCGTTGAGTCGAGTTCTCTCCTCCGGTAGTGCTACAATATTTGATTGTGAAATTGATTTATTTATTGTGAGATAGGACTCTTTATCACTTCCATAATGCCATCTGACAAAATGTGTTGTGTACCTGGGTGCTCTGAGGCTCGTGGTGGTTCGTAAATGAATTCCATTTAAAGATTCTATTGCTAAAACATTGTCTCCGTGCTTATTTCTACATAATTGTATTTCTCTCTTGCAGTTTCATGTCCTGTACTCCACTTGTTTCCTCATCCAAAACAAGAAACAGAGCGTTTCGAATCTTGGAGATCGTCTGTGGGTGGACATATACTAGATTTACCTGACGAATTTGTTTATAAATACCGTCGTGTGTGTCATGCACATTTTGAGAAAAAATTTCACTGTCGGAACAATAGGCTTTCTAACATTGCAATTCCAACTCTGAATGTGCCAGGTAATTTTTTTACGATATATTATCTAAACTTTAGGAATTACATATTTATCTTTTCCTCATTCCATTAATTTCGATTGAGATTGATTGCTATTTCAAACTCGTTATCCATAATAAGTTTGTATGTTCTTAATTTTTCAAGAGACTTTTGTTTTCAGTTAAACACATACCAGATGTTGAGCAATCAAAGGAAAATAAATCTGACGGCCAATCAACATCTAGTTGTAAGTAAATTATTTTATGCTAATTCTTGAATTTCAATTTCTGAATCAAAACGAAGTACAATATTATTTTCAGATAAGTGTCAGTCAAGAAAACGACCATTGAGCTCTACAGAAAATATAATTGAAAGTCTACCATCCACTTCAAAAGGTATTTAATTGTAATGTATTGATTTCTTATAATTTCATGCGCTCTATTCATAAATGAAACATCTTTTAAATGGTTTCATCATGTTTGTATTGAAGACCCTTTACAGGTTCAGTGTTCACATAAGATTAAGCTATTTATTGAAAAAAGACAATGAAACCACTTAAAGGCTGTTTCATTTAATTGTAATGTAGATTAATTTCAATTGCACTAAAATGACTAACTTAACAATTTGTATTAGGATAATATTTTAGTAATATGGTTATGGATAAAGTTTACACAGGGGCTGTAGGTGGGTTAGAAAATCAGTATTTTCAACACCAGTACTAGTGCTGAAATGATTACAATCACGGTCAGTCACGGGGTAGCTGTAATGAAGTTTTTGAGGTTCAATTTACACTAGATAAACACTGGCATATAATTGTTTAATGTTTTTAGTTTATATTTAACTGCTATTGCAACTGCCATGTGATAAAATAAAATTTATTTTAATAACAAATGGTGAGCTATTCCAAATTAAGTTCTTATGTAAATAAATATACTATGGATTTTTTTTTCAGATGAACATACAATAGCAATTGATCATACTAAGGAATTATTTTCCTTAACTAAAGAACAATCAACATCTAGTCGTAAGTAAACTTTTTATAACAAGCTTTTTGAAACATTCTAAATTAAGATTAATTATGATATTTATAATACTTTCAGACAAAATTAGATCAAGAACAACACTGTTGGGCTCCGAAGAAAATGTCATTGAGTGTATACCATCTACTTCAAAAGGTATTTTATAACTTATAAATCTCTGTTATATGATACAAACATAGTTTAAAATTTAACAAATGTTCAATAAAAGGAATAATCATTTCATTCATACTCTATTTCACAGTACTCAAAATATTCTCACAAAAATCAAGCTTTAATTTACTGCTTTAATTCTTTTTTTTTTTTTCGTTTAGATACAAAAACAACTTTCAAAATACAAAGCAAGTCACTTGCTGAACTAAAATTATACAGAAAACTCATTGCCACTAGAGCTAAGTTGAGAAAATGTGAAAATAAAATAAAGAAGCAGGCAGCAGCTATTAATACC